CGGGCAGAGTGTGATGGTTTCATTGGACGTTTGAAGGCAATAATTCGTGCCAAACGTAACAAATTCGAACAAATGTAAACTTATTCTAAAATTTGATGTTATTTCCGATACATTTTGCTTTCATTTAATAAAATTAAAAAAAAATGTGGAAATTATGGTGTTTGACTTTGTTGCAGTCTCACCCTGTATGTATCTCTGTAAAATTCCATTGGTAATATTAGCTATACAGCAGCTAATTCGAGAAGTATTCATATTAGGACAGAAAGGTTGAACGCAATCCCAAAAGGCTTAGAATACTCAGATCAAAAATATTTTATTAAACACTAGCAAGTCCCCGCTACTTCGTCAGCGAAAAGTCCACCTTCAAATGTTAGATGCATTCCAAAGGGCCTTTTTAGCACTTAAAATGCACAATTTGTTCAGTTTAACAATAATTTTCGATCGAATCTTTAGACTTTCAAGGCTTTCAATATTATACAATTTTTCCCTTTTTTAGAAAGAATAATAGGACAATTGTTAGGCTTTGTACCAAAAAGACTTCAAAATCTTTAATTTTGAAGTCAACTGAGGAGAATAATAGTAAAACCATTGTAAAATGGATGCACGTTCAATCAAGGCCAAATTTAGTACTGTTGTGTACTTTTCGTACAATTATAACACACAATTCCAAAACCATCTTCATATCTCAATACCAAATACCAATATCGAATTTGAGGACTCCAGCTCGTTAGCATTTCCAAAATCACCTCCATATCTTAACCACAGACAATCATCAAGAATTTTAATAATAATATCAAACAAGCCAAGCCTCTAATGTAATAAATGAGGGTTAAATATGATTAACCTACCGCCTTAAGGTATGCTTTAAATGTTATGCTTAATTTGATATAAACAAGGTATTAACCCATTATGCTACATCAAACAGTTAACTGTTATAAAACGACACATGTATGGAATGTTTGTGTTATATTAGAAGTATTTACATCAGGGCAAGGCAGAGAGCCTCAAAATTTTTTTGTGATTGTATGTGTTTGAAATGACAAAATATTGCAAGTGTTTTTTGCCTCTCTTTACAGAGTGAGAAATAATTGGTTATCTTTAAATTTTCAACTTAAAATTTTTCGTTTTAAAAACAACTTCGTTGTTAAAAATTTATATTTTGGTCAGACAATTCGGAGATATATTTGCACAGTTTTTTCAATTATGTTTCATTTAAAAAAAATATATATATGACATTTTTAAAAATTTTATATAATATTTATTAAAAAAAAAAATTTAAAAAAAATTATTAAACACAAATAATAATTTCGGACTTAACATCCTAACAATCTTAGTTGATCCTTTAAAATTAATACCGATTACCACAGGCTGACATACGCAAATAGTTGTAGAATTTTATGCTGATCTGAAACGCATATCCTGCGTTGGGTCCTAAAATATTATGTCTATGAATTACAAACAGAATGACAAACATAACATCTTGTTATTTTCCCTAATATTGACTAACAATAATAATTTCAGAGAAATCAAGGGATATGAAAATGTCCATTAATTTGGAAGGACAATAAATTTGTCTAACAATATGAAATAAATTTCTATTCCTAACATGTGAATTCGGAAATATTTGTTCCGAATATGTAGTAAGATATATTTGTGCTCCAACATTTCTTACGGTGTATTCATGAAAATATCCGACAGCACCTTCCTCAACGACTGCCCGAACAAAATTAAATATTCTCCCAAAACCATTTTGACAAAAAATTCAAAACAATTTATTTTTTATAATTGTATTGGTGAACACACATATATCCCAAGGGATACTCTTTGCCTAGCCTTGATCTAAAGCAAGTTGTGTATGTTTATTTAATTTGAAAAAAAGATTAAAAAGTTTCAGCCGTCTTTCCAACAAATCTTGAGTTAGCCAAAATGTTTGTATGTGTGAAATTTAGGAGAGTTGAACGCTTATTTGGCTTTCTTTGAGCGTTTTCTTTTTAGAATCTTGAACCCTATGTGGGGGAGGTGACAGAAGAAATGGTTCGATCTCTACCATCTTTATTAAATCTTCACGGACATTAAAATTTTTACCCTTTAGGGGAGGTACCAGAATAACTGCACCGATTTATTCATTTTCACAGCAGATCTTCTGTTAGTAGAAATAATGGGATGTGTGAAATTGTATATTCGGATTTTATAATCATTTTGCTCATTTAAAATGTTGACCCTTTGTGGGGGAGGTACCAGAAGGAAGGGTCCGATCTCTACCATTTTTATAAGAGATCTTGTATTGATGAAAATATTGAGATGTACCAAATCTGAATAGAAACGAATGCTAATTTCTCGTTTTATGAGCTTCATGGATATTAAAATTTTGAACCATTGTGGGAAGGTACCAGAAGAAGAGGACCGGTAATGGGATATATCGTGCCACTCCTTCATAACTTATCTTGTGTTATTTTATAAGAGTTATAATTATTCAAAATATTGACCCTTTGTGGGGGAGGTACTTGATGGAATGGACCGATATTGTCGATTTTCTCACCTCTAATAGCACTGATACAAATATTAGTTGTTATTATTGTTTTTTTTTTTTTTTTTTTTTTTTTTTGAAAAGCACACAGTCATAATTGTAAGTCCATGTTTTGGTAATATCTTCATGTTAATGCATCTCAAAAAATCAGAATTTGGAAAGCTTCAAACGTTTCCCAATTGTTGTGGCAGTTAGAATGCAAGACATATTTTAAAACAATGTTCTCATACCTCCATTTCCTAATGGTGGAGTATATAAAAATGCTGGCTGGAAGATCTTACCGCCTTTTTTACTCCTTTAGACCATGACTTTAATTTTCCAAAAAAAAAAAAAAACAAACTAAATTGTATTTAAAGATTTAAAATTTTTCTCATTTGTGAGGTTTTTATGCGCCTGGACAAAATCGAACTTAATGCTGTTTCTATTTTTATACCCTCCACCATACTATGGAGGGTATATTAACTTTGTCATTCCGTTTGTAACTCCTCGAAATACTCATGTCAAACCCAACAAATTATATATATTCTTGATCAGCGTAAAATTCTAAGTCGATTTAGCGATGTCTGTCTGTCTGTCTATCTGTCTATCTGTCTATCTGTCTATCTGTCTATCTGTCTGTCTGTCCGTCTGTCTGTCTGTTGTAATCATGCTATCTTTCGAACGAATTGAGATAGAAGGATAAAATTTTGCACACATGTTTATTTTTTCAGTAGGTAGGTTAAGCTCGTAAATGGGCCATGTATGTAGACGTCTTCATATACCCCTCATACAACGGTACCTCCCGATATTCGGTATTTGGATGATTTTAGCGACATTATTCAGCGGAATTGTTTCAAATTTGGTATTTGAAGTTTGTAATGGATGCTACAACCTATGACAGAAAATTGTCTGTGCAGGTCTACGTCTTCGTATAGCCCCCATATAACGGTAGCTCCCAATATTCGGTATTTCGATGATTTTAGCGACATTATTCACCGGAATTGTTTCAAATTACGCATTTAGAGTTCGTAATACAATTTACAGCCTAAGACAGAAAATTGTCTATGCAGGTCCCATTCTTCGTATAGGCCCCATTCTTCGTATAGGCCCCATATTTCAGTACCTCCCTATATTCAGTATTTTGACGAGTTTAGGTACAATACCCACCGAAATTGTTTGAGATGTCGCATTTGACGTTCGTAATGGATGCTACAGACTATGACAGAAAAAAAAAAAAAACAGATAGGTTCTGGTTTTTATATAGTTCATACTATTTTACGGTTTTTTCATATTCAAATGAATTTTTCCATTTGGTGAAACTCGGTCGGGTATGTATATTTTTCCAATAAATATTTTTTTAATATAATTCTTATCGAAGTCATATCACGCACTATATAGCAATGATATTTGGTACTTGAGGTACAAAAGCCTCTGTTAAATTTGTTAAAAAATCGATTCAGTTCCCAAATTGTGACTATGCTAAAGCCATGATACGCATTCAAATAATGTCCATAGTTGATATGATCTACTCCACATAAATTCCCAATATAAACATTTTTTGTTACTAAAGCTCTACTAACCCATGGTACAATGAAGAGAAGGTAGGTCAACTTTGAAAAAATTGCAAGTATAGAGGTCTACCTGTTTGGCTTGTAAAATTAGTATCAAAACAATAAAAAATCAAACAACTTGTTGCATTTATTTTGAATAAATAATTGAAAACCGCGATAACTGAATGAAAGGTCAACACTTATTTTCAAAATCATGTACTATATATCTCTAAAGGATTATTTAGCTACAAAAACTCTAGATTTTTTCGATACATACATTGAAATAAACATTTTGAAAATATCCGAATTTGAATATTTTCGGAACAATTTTTTTGTTATTGAAAAGAAAACACATGCATAAAAAAATAAAGATGACATATTAAGCCAAGAAAATAAAAAAATTAAAATCATATGGTATCATAGCCCTACCTTGATATCATTGTACCATGTACCAACCTTTCTTTACTGGTTAAGGCTTCAAAAACATTTCACAATCGTTATGACAGTTAGGATTGTTCGAAATTAAAAAAATGTCTTAAAAATATTCTCATATTTTCAAATAATTTGATTTCCAAATACTGGCGGATATCTAAAATACTGGTTGGACGGAGTTAACGCCTTTTTTATTTAACTTTGGACATGGCCCTACAAAAACAAACTAGATTGTATTTAAAGATTTAAAAATTTTGCCATTTGTGAGGTTTTTATGCGGCTGGACAAAATTGAACTTAATACAGATTTTTTTTATTTTTATTTTTTTAATTTCAATATATTTTTACGGGTCAGTTATTTAACCCAATTCCATGCAATTTCAATATCAAATTACAGGCCTGAAAAAAATATATATTTGTATAACATTGTAACAAATTCTGCCACAGTTTGCAAACAAACCTTAGGAAACTGTAACAAAATAAAAAATTAAACAACAACAACACATCTCTCAATTTAATTAATTAATAATAAATTTTATTCGTTTTTGGATTCGACCATAAAAACCCATTACAACTACATGGACATAATTTAAAAATTAGTAAACAACAAAATAAATTTTGTTTTTGTTTCGTTTTTTTACATTGTTTCGTCTACAAACTAAGTAAAACAATAATAAAAAAATACTAATAAAATTAAATTTCACATTGAAACATAAAATAAAAATCGTAATAATAAAAATAAAATTACACAAAGAAAACAGGGAGAGGGAGAAGGAGGGAGGGAAAAAATACAAAAAATTATAAAGAATACTAACGAGAAAATAAAAAACAATAAAAACGAAATTTCTCTTTTTTTTTGTAATAATAAAAACTAAAATAGCAATGCAATAAGGAAAATAGGAAGGAAGTTAGGAAGCTAGGAAGTAAATAACAAAAATGTGGGGGAAGGAAGGAAACAAAGAAGAAGTAAGAGGACTAATAAATTTCCATATAAATAAGAAAAATATACAAAAAAAAAACAGGAGCAACGTGATTTTGGTGCATGTGGCAGGGAAGATGGGGGAGGTAAGGAGGGGGTGTGAAAATGAGTAAATATATTTATATATAAAATAATGAAAACAGGAAGAAAAGCAGACGGGGAAAACATACACACTTACAAACTACTATTATTATTATTATTAGATACTACAAGTAAGCGGCAGAGGGAGGAGACGGCTGCATGGAATCCTTACTCTGCACAGCCAACCACCTCCACCTCCCATACAGCAAAGTATAGCCGGAAATACGCGCATTTACATTTCCGTTTTTTTGTTGGCGTGCTATTGTCGTCGGTGTTGTTGTTGCTGCTGCTTGTCCTTTTTAGAAAAAGACAAATTTGAATAATTGATAGAGAATGAAAAATGTCAGCGAATAAATCACAAACAATGTGGTGTAGTGCAGAATTTTCAAACTGTAACGAGAAAAAGAGAATAATTTTTTTTATTAGAAAATCAAAAGCGAAAATTGAAATTGAAATTTTGAAATATATCTTCAAATTATCGAAAACAATGAACAATAATGGCAAGATGTTGACGCTATTAGGGGGAAAATGGAAAATTGCAATAAAAAAATAGCAGAGAGAAGAAGCAGGATGGAATGTCCGGTGCTGTAAATCAAAAGGATGGAATGTTGGAAAATTATTAAAAAATATAATTTTAATATATTATTTTTATAAAAAAAACACAGTAAAGAAAGTCCTAAAGTCGGGCGGGGCCGACTTTATGATACCCTACACCACTTTGTTAATTTAGTAGACCTCCACATAACACTTAAAAGTGTTTATGAGAGAATTTAATCATACACGCTATGATTATAATTATAATTTAAAGTTCAAACTCGGACTTGTATTGCCCATTTGGTGTAAAAATTAATTTGAAATCAGATAAAGATATATATGGGAGCTATATCCCAATCGGAACCGATCTCGATAAAATTTGGCAAAGATATTTCTGAGCTGTATTTGATATATTTCCTGAATATCGTTGTGCATATTACGGCTGTGGGTAACAAATACAACAAATCGGATGAACAATATATATGGGAGCTATAGCTATATCTGAACCGATCTTCAATCAAATTTGGCGTACTAGCTTCTAGACTCAATCCGGTCGCATGTGCCAAATTCCATCCCATTTGGGCAAATATAAGACGTTTGGTGCACAATCAAAAGTAAATCGGACGAAGTTATATATGGGAGCTATATCCAAATCTGAACCGATCTCGATAAAATTTAGCAAATTTATTTCTGAGCTGTATTTGATATGCTTTCCTAAATATTATTGTTACAGAGTGCATATTACGGCTGCGGAGGACAAAAATAACAAATCGGATGAACAATATATATGGGAAGTATAGCTATATCTGAACCGATTTCGATCAAATTTGGCATACTTATTTTCAGGCCTAATTTGGTTGTATGTATGTATCTATTTTTTACCGATTATCTCCAATTTCAATAGGGTTCGTCCTTGGACTAAATAAATTTTGTTTGGAAAATTTCATCTCAATAGGATAATAAATGCTACTGCATTTTGTTCACAAGAATACATGGACAGACGGATGGACGGAAAGACGGACGGACGGACATGCATAAATCAACTCAAGAAAGTGAATCTATGGAGATCCTCAAAAGTAACTATGGGTCTATCTCGCTTCCTTCTCCATGTTACAAACAAATGCACAAAGACATAATACGCTTACCACTATGTGGTGTAGGGTATAAACATTAAAGAATATATTTCGATATTTTTTGTGAAATTCAGGTTCCTTTTTTGGAGGACCTGAAATAATATATTTTATGGTATACTAGCCAGTGCCCCCTACTTCGACAGCCAAAAGTCCACCTTAAAAGTTTGTTCAGTTTGAAATTTTTTTATCAAAACTTCATATATCGTACCACATTTTCAGACTTCCAAGGTTTCATATACAGGGTGAGGTAAAAAAACTGCAACAAAGTCAAACGCCACACTTTTTAAATTTTATTAATTTTATTTTAAAAAATGTCGAAAAAAGCATCAAATTTTAGAATAAGTTTAGATTTTTTCGATTCGTCACCTTCAAACGGCCAATGAAACCGTCACACGCTGTCCGAATGTTGCTCTGCAGTTTTTTGGCCCATTCCCGGCGAAGCGCTTTGGTATCTTTTAGTGCCAACCTTGCTTTTAAAAATACTCCAAACACAATGGTGCATCGGATTGGTATCCGGAGATTTTGGTGGCCATTGTGCGCTGGAAATGAAGCCAGGAATCTCATTTTGTAACCATTCTTGGGTGTTGGGTGGTGAGTCCTGTTGGAATGTCCAAGGTGTGCGGACAAAATGTTTGAGTGCCCAAGGCTCTAATACACCCTCCAGAATATTTTCGCGATAATATTCGGCATTTATTCTGATGCTACCCACGGTCGATTAATTTAAGTGGAGAGCGACCATCTGCTGTTATATCAGCCCACACCATCACCATGGCCGGCGATTGAGTTCTGGTGGACAACCGAGGGTGCACATTTTCAACTGACCTCTTTGGCAAGTAAACCCGATAATTTTGTTTGTTTACAAACTGCTGGACAACGAATGTTTTCTCATCGAAAACGGAGAAAACCAAATTCGGGAGTTCACCACTTTCGGCCAAGCGAAGAAACTCTTTAGCTCTTTTCAGTCTATTTTCTATTCTTTCTGTTACGGTGTAAGTTCTTGCACTTTATGGAATTTCAATGGCCTTACCCCGAGTTCATTTTTTAATATTTACCGAATGGAATATTGCGATATGTTCAGCTCAAGAGCCATTTTTCGGCCACTGTGACGAGGGGTTTCGATCAAGTCGCTTCTTTACTTTTCGAAGAATTTCTGCTGATGTTGCTGTTTTCTTTCGCCCACTTCCTTGAAGTCGAGCTACGCTACCAGTATCACGGTAACGAGCGATGGTTCGAGACACATAAGATTTATTAACATTTAAATGCTGAAGTGCTCTAACGATACCTACTTGTGGGTTTCCAGACAAATATAAAGAAATCGCACTATCGCGCTTGAATTCCACCACGAATAACTTTTTTTCTGGAAAATTCTCATCAAAATGCTTTTGTACGCTTGTAAACAATAAAATGAGTTGTCACTGGAATAATTTTTATAGCTGTCGGATGACTGGCCTAGAAATGACAGCAGTCTGAAATTGGTTGCAGTTTTTTCATCTCACCCTGTAATTGTCAAGTTTTTCCTCATTCGAAAAGAATAATAGGAAAATGGAAATTGCACAATGGACCCAATGGAAATTCCGAATTTCAGTCACCCAATACCTAATTAGTTCCATTTAGTACTTTTCGTACAATTATAGCACTCTTTTCCAAAAAATCCTCCATATCTCTATCCCCTATACCAAGAGAGGCATCAATAAACGATGTCAGAATTTTATCTCTTATTCCTTCACCCACTACCAAATTTGATATCATTTAAAAATTTTTGTACAATTATTGTACACATTTCAAAACTGCCTCCATATCTTAGTTTCAGATACCAACAGATATCCCAATATCAAATTTGAGGATTCCAGCTCTATCCCTTTACCCAATACCAAATTTAGTACTGTTCGTACAAAATATGAGATGCATGTCAAAACCACCTCTATATCTTAGCCACAGACACTAACCGAGACATTTGTATTAAATTTTAGAATTTTAGGTCTATCCCATCACCCAATACCAAATTTGGTACCATTTAGTACTTTTCGTACTAATTTAGGACGCATTTCCAACTCTCCGCCAAATCTCGAACACAGATGCCATCAGGAATCTAAATATCAAATTTCAGAATTGTACCATATTTCGGGTTTTAATAAGCCCCAATACTGTTCATCCAATACCAAATTGTACCAAATATAGTACTATTTAGTACTTTACGTGCACTCGTAGTACTCATTTCCAAAACCAATTTTATATTACAAACCTACCACTAACAGGGACCACAATACAAAATTTCTGCTTCATCCATTTACCCTACCCCAAATTTTGTACAATTGAGTACTTTTCGTACAATTATAGTACACATTTCCAAAACCAGCCATATCTCTCAATTTCAGATACCAACAATTTCAGAGACCTCAATATTACATTTGGGGATTCCAGACCTATCACCCAATATTAAATTTAGTACATTTCAGTACTTTTCGTACTATTACACATTACACACATTTCCAAAATAAGCTCCATAACTCAACCATCGATACCAACAGTGACTTCAATATCAAAATTTGGGATTTCGTTCCTATCCCTTTACCCAATACCAAATATTGCACCATTTATTACTTTTCGTACAATTATAGTACACATTTCCCAAACCACCTCCATAAGTCCAGGCACATGGACAGCCACGTTAAATTCCAAATTTCAGATTTCAAGCTCTATCTTTTTACCCAACTGAAAATTGTACCAAATATAGTACTATTTAGTTCTTATTGAGAACTTTTAGTACAAATTTTCAAAACCACCTCCATATTTTAACCACAGACACCAATGGAGACCTCAATATGAAATTTGAGGATTCCAGCCCTATCCCCTCAACCAATATCAAATTTAGTACCATTTAGTACTTATCGTACAAATATAGGACGCGTATCCGAACCACTGCCAAATCTCAAATACAAATACCTGCAGTAATCTAAATATCAAATTTCGAGATTCCTGACCGATCTCTTCACCTAATACTATATATAGTACAATTCGATACTTTTCGTACAATTATAGTACACACTTCCGATACTATCTCTATATATCCAGGCCACACATGAACAGCGACCCTACTACCAAATTTAAGATTTTAAGCACTATCTGTTCACACAATACCACTTTGTACTAAAAATAGTACTGTTTAATACATTGCGTGCAATTATAGTCCAAAACCACCTTCATATCTCAATTCCAGATGCCCAAAAGAAACCTCAATATCAAATTTGAGGATTCTAGGCCTGTTCCTTCACCCAATACAACATTTAGTACCATTTAGTACTTGTCAGTAATTCAACTATCAAATTTCAGGATTTTATCACCCAATGCCAAATTTAGTACCATTTAGTACTTTTCGTACAAATATAGAACGCATTTCCGAACCACCGCCAATTCACAAACACAAATACCAGCAGCTAATCTAATTATCAATTTTGGAGATTCCAGACCGATCTCTTCACCTAATACTAAATATAGTACATTTCAGTACTTTTCGTAAAATTATAGTACACACTTCCGATACTACCTCTATATGCCCAGCGACTCTAATACCAAATTTCAGATTTTAAGCCCTATATGTTCGCCCAATACCAAATTCTACTAAAAATAGTACTGTTTACTATATTTCGTACAATTATAGTACGCTTCCCAAAACCACCTTCGTATCTCAATTCCAGATGCCCAAAAGCAACCTCAATATCAAATTTGAGTATTCTAGGCCAGTTCATTCACCCAATACAACATTTAGTACCATTTAGTACTTTTCGTACAAATACAGGACGGGTATCTGAACCACTGCCAAATTTTAAATACAAATACCAGCAGTAATTTAAATATCAAATTTCGAGATCCCAGCCTTATCCTTTCACCCAATACGAAATATAGTACCACTTACTACTTTTCGTACAATTATAGTACACATTTCCGATAATACCTCCATATGTAGAGGACACACATGAACAGCGACCCTTATACCAAATTTCAGATTTTAAGCACTATCTGCTCACACAATACCACTTTGTACTAAAAATAGTACTGTTTAATACATTGCGTACAATTATAGTCCAAAACCACCTTCATATCTCAATTCCAGATGCCCAAAAGAAACCTCGATATCAAATTTGAGGACTCTAATCCTGTTCCTTCGCCCAATACAAAATTTAGTACCATTTAGTACTTGTCAGTAATTCAACTATCAAATTTCAGGATTTTATCACCCAAAAATGCCAAATTTAGTACCATTTAGTACTTTTCGTACAAATATAGTACAAATTTCCAAAACCTCCTCCATATGTCCAGGATACACATGAACAGCGACCTTAATATAAAATTCAAAACTTCACGCTCTATCTGCTGAACCAATAACAAAATGTACCAAATATAGTACTATTGAGTACTTTTCGTGTACTTTTAGTACGCATTTTCAAAACCACCTCCGTATCACAAACATACAACTAACAGGAACCCCAATGCAAAATTTAAAAATTCTAACTTCATCCGTTCGCCCTAAACAAAATTCGACCAAATGTAGTACTATTTAGTACAGTTCGCACACTTAGTACACATTTCCGAAAACCACCTTCATATATCAAACTTGCTTTCCAACCATGATTCTCCTAACAAATTTCAAGTTTTTTAGCTTTGCTGTTCACATAATACCAAATGGTGCCATTTTTTTCGAAGTTTAGTACTATTTCGGAACTTTTCGTTACAATTTCCAAGAACCCTTTGGTACATCTATCCTGCACTCCATCAGTGACTTTTAATCCTAATTTATATTCTCAATTTTAGGTAATTTCATTTGACCAATACAAAGTATTATATTTTTAGTACATTTTAGTACGTTTCGTACCATTTCAGTACAACTTTCCAAAAACCCTGGCTTATCACCTGACCCTCGTGAAAAAATTTCATGATTTCAGTTTCAGCCGCTCAGACTGGGCGTTAATTCTCAGTCAGTAAGTCAATGAGACATTTTAGTACTTTTCGTACCCTTTTAGTACGAATTTCCAAAAATCCAGCCTTATCACAAGCTTACGCACCAAGACTGAGCCTCGTGCAGAATTTCAAGCTTATAGCTTCAGATGTTTCGTCTGGGCTTTGATTCTTATTTAGTGAGTCAGAGATTACAAATATTTTTTTAAGGTTGACTTTAGGCCCACAATCGGTCGTATTTTAAGGATATTTGTGCATCAGTGATGACATAAAGTAATTTTTACAAATTCCTAAAAAAAGGGTACCCTTCGAAATTATTGTCCCTAAATTACAGACAGGAATTCGTAAATGATTTAAACCACTTTTAGAGGCATATTACTTCAACTCCAATTCAGTTACACTGGCATCACTGTTCCATCCCCAAAACCTACTAGAGCGCACACCATTGCCATTATCATCATCATCCTCCACCACTTCATTATTAATATCATCCTGCAGTTCGTTTTTCGGGGAATTTCATTTGACTCTCTTTTTGCAAAAAAAAAAAAAGAAAAACTTACCGTTCATGTCGCTTCACCGATTCGGCCACAGTACTGGGTTCATCCTTCACCACATAGGATCGCAGGCCCCACAAGCTAATGCGAAACAGTTCAGTCCAATCGACGGACCGCATATCGAAGGCAAACAAACGTTTATCCTTCGCATCCAATTTGTCCCAGAGTGCTCGCACATTGTTGTTTTCGAATATGAATTCATTCGATGAGAAATATTCCATCACAGCGCAAAATTTGTGGATTTTGCGATACATTTTCATCATTCTGAAAAAGGGAGGGAGGGAAAGGGGGAAAATGAAAAACAAAACGAAAAAAAAAAAAAACAAACACACAGAGAGATATGATAAAAACAAGTTAGCCGTGAGATGACACCAGGCACAGCACAGCACAACATCAATAGCTACAGCTAAAGCCCAAAACGATGAAAACAAAAAAATCCAGTTTTGGAAACAGCTAAACAAAGCACAATCAGCCGCGAAAAGCCAAATATTTGATCAAGAATATGGAGGGCAGCAAAACCCAGCCAAAAAAAAAAAAAAATCGAAAACAAAGTAACCAACAACGTATGCAAAAGCTAAAGGCCCCCAAAATATGCCATAGCCAAACGCAGGCACACAAACAACACACACACACACATATTTTGGGGCGCTAGCCACACACAAATTTTAGGAAATCCTCCCACATTTCCCAACAACCCACCCACCACTTGAATAATTTGAAATTCATGATAACTATCGGAGATTTAGTATTAGCGTAACGAAACAATGAAGAGAGGGAGAGCGAGGAATTGATAATCAATTGCATGGATTGGCAGAGACGAAATGTTTGGGAGCTACAGCTCGAGGTTAAAGGATAAAATCTATGATTCTCTTAAAAGAAGAATAGATTAAAATCAGCTCTTTAAAAGAGACCTAGAAAGCTCATCACTCTAAGGAAGCTTTTTTGGACAAAGAAGTATTCCCATCACAGAAGTAACAGAGGGGTGAAAGGACTATATAAAGAATTGGGAAATAGACTTCTGTCCTAGACAAATAAAAGTATTGACTAAAATGTTGCCTCATCTGTCATCTTCGAAAAAAGTGCTTCAATAAATGTCGTTCATGCTGTGAGAGAGCTTAATCTATTCACTCAATTCTCTCAATGGAAAATATTTTAAATATTTTTATTTTTAAGTCGTGAAATTTAAAAATCTACTGCTCAAATAGCAGAATTTATTTGGAAGTCGAGTGATTTTATTAGTCCTGGGTGACTATACTGTCCCAATGATTAACTATGGGTCCAAATGATTAACCTCTATGGGTCAACATTTAAACTTTTTGGTCTACACCTTTATTTGTCTATGCTTCTGTCTATAGATGAGCTCTTTGAAGATTACCTTTCCATAGAAATACCTGCCGAAGTCCACTAGCCACATTAGTGTTTCAAAAAGTATACAATCAGCAGAAAAACTGGGAAGTTCTTCTAGAAAAGCTTCAAAAGTTTTTGTGTTTATGGAAGATTAACTATCAGCAGAAAATCCTCAGCAGAGCTTCAGCAAGCATTTTGTCTGCAGAAGAGATTTAAAAGGTCTACTATTCACCGAAGAACAACAAAAGAAGGTCGGAAGAGCTTTAGAGGATTTGCTGTCAACAGAAGAACTTTCAATATTCTTCTCCTTACAACAGAGGCTTAAAAGGTATTTTGTTCGCAGAAAAAAACTTGAAGAAGTCTTAGCCCATAAAAGAACTTTACAGAGTCACAAAAGAGCTTAAAATGGTATTGTGCTCATGGAAGATCTAATGAAGGTATTCTGTCCACTGTGGCAGAGCTAAAAGCTCTTCTGTTTACAGAAAATCTTTGAAAAGTTTTCTCTCCAAAGAATATCCCCAGATGATCTTTCACCATTAAAATGTTTCTCCTTACAGGGGAGATACATTTTAATGGTGAAAGATCATCGATCCAGAGAAGAGTTTTAAAATAATTTATGTTCCAAGAAAGCTCATCTTTTTTCAGAAGAGCTTTAGATCGCTTTCGTTCACAGAAGAACACCTCAGTCCACGAAGTAGCTTTAACAAAGAGCGTCTTCTGTCCTCAGAAGTAATTTAACAGTCAACATTAGAGCTTTAAAGGATCTTCTGTCAGCAGAAGAGCTTTAAGAGTTATTCTCTCCACAAAATAGGTTTAAATGGTATTCTTCAAATTTAAGTGTTTTAAAAGGTCTTCTGTGCACATGTTCCGCTGACCACAGCAGAGCAGTGCGTCTTCATTTCTCAGAAGAGCTTTTACACGACTTCTGTCCACAGCAAAACTTTAAAGAATCTTCTGGCAAAGATTTTCAGAGTAAAAGCTGTATAAAGTTTTCTGTTGACAGAATGGCTTAAAATGTAAAGAGAAAAGTTTTAAGCGGAAAAGGGAAAAGCTTTAAAAGGTCATCCGTCCTCACAAGAGTTTTAAAAGGTCTTCTGTTGGAAGGTTATTAGGGCACAGTAGAACTATAAATGGCCTACTCTCCTTGAATGTGCTTTGTAATGTCTTCTGTTTACTAAAAACGCTTTTTTCTAGTTATGAAATAATTTTGCAGGTTTTCCGACCAAGAAGAGCTTAAAAAGGTCCACGCACATAGAATATTTCTCAATGGCCTTTTATCCACAAAACAACTTTAAGAAGTTGTCTGTCAATAGAAGAGCTTTAAAAACTTTTCCGTTACAGAAGAGCTTTAATTAGCTTTCTGTAAATAAAAGATCTTCAATAGATCTCATGTCATCATAAGACCTTTGGCAGGACTTAATTTCACAGAAGAGTTTTAAATGTCTTTTGTTTGAAAGAGAAGAGATTTAAACGGCCTTTTATCCAAAAAATAACTTTAAGATGTTGTCATTAGAAGAGCTTCCGTCACAGAAGACCTTGTATTAGTTTTCAGTAAATAGGAACACTTCCATAGGTTTCTTATCATCAGACAGGTCCTCCATTCACAAAAGAGTTTTAAAAATATTAGAGGTTCTCTGTCCATGAAGGAGATTGAGAAGTCTTCTAAATATCTGTATATCTTTTACAGTACCTAGAGATCAGCTTTAAATGCTCTAGTTCACAAATAAGAGCTTAAAGAGACCTTTTTTCCACAAATGCATTTTAATATTTCTTCTCTCTACAGAAAAGCTTTAGAAGTTTCCTCAAAATGTTTCAAAGGTTTTTCCATCGACAGCAGAGCTTTTTGTGAGTTTAAAGCAGCCTTGCTCACAATATATGCATTGGTTGTGGTGAGAGACCATCTCGACCTGCAAAATCAATGGCAAATTAACATCGAGAGAGTCCATAGCTATTTTAAAGTGTCTTCTGGCCACAAATGAGCTTTAATAGGTCTCCAGAAGTGCAAAACGTATTCTCTCCTCAGAATAGCGTTGACGAGTCTTGTTCAAGGAGTGACTCTGCTTCCATAATATGGAAGAATATGGAGATATGGAAGATCTGTAGAAGGTATTTTAAAGGTCTTCTCTCTCAGTAGGAGAATTTTGGAAAGCCTTCCCTTTCAAAAGGAAAGTTTTTCAGTAGGTCTCGTCCCAATCCAAGGCCCTTTAATTAAGTTTTTTTTTCAGGAGAAATCTCCTTGATAGGCCTTCTTTTAAGGAAGGGTCTTTAAGAGGAATTTTTAATTCTAAAAGGTTTTTTTCAATAGAATATTTCTAAGAAATTTTCTATGGTAAACCTTTTGAAAATCCTTCGAAAGAAGGCCTTCTAAATCGTTTCTATTCAAGAAGATTTTCTTAAGTCCCTTCTTCAGTAGCAACAATTTTTAAATTTATTTTCTTTAGAAGACTATGTAAAGGTTCTTCTCCATTGAAGTTACTTTTTTGAGCAATAAGAGCTTTAAGAGGCCTTCTTTCTACAGAAAGATCTTCTAGCACAAAGGAGTTTTTATGGGATTTAAAGGGTCTTCTGACCACAAAAGAGCCTTAATATATCTCCAGATATGAAAAACGTATTATCTCACCCGAAGAGCATCGAAAGATCTTTTTCTATTAAGGGGAGGTTATGTTTCCAGAGGAGTTTAAATGGGTGTATCCATCGAAAATTTGTAAAAGGTATTTTAAAGGTTTTCTCACTCCGTAGGAGATCTTTGGAAAGCCTTCACTTACAAAAGGAAATGTTTTAAGTGGACATTTCAAAGGCATTTTAATAAACTATATTTTTCGGGAGAAGTCCCACGAGGGGCCTCTGTCAGGGGAATGTCTTTAAGAAGAATTTTTTATTCTAAAAGGTTTTTTTCAATAGAGGAGTTTTAATGGATATGGAGATATCGAAGATCTGTAGACGGTATTCTAAAGGTCTTCTCTCTCAGTAGGAGACCTTTGGAAAGCCTCCTCTTTCGTAAGAAAAAGTTTCTCAATGGGCATTTCGAATGCATTTTAATTTATTACATTTTTTTCGGGAGAAGTCCCATGAGGGGCCTCTGTCAGTGGAATGTCTTTGAGAGGAATTTTTAATTCTAAAAGGTTTTTTTTTTTTCAATAGAAGAGTTTTAATGGATATGGAGATATCGAAGATATGTAGAAGGTATTTTAAAGGTAGGAGATCTTTGGAAAGCCTTCCCTTTCATAAGAAAATGTTTGCAGTGGGATTTGTCCCAGTCAAAGGCATTTTAAATTAGTTTTTCCAGTGGAAGCTTTTTTGAGAGATATTTTCAATTCTGTTGGTCTCCTCTATAGAATATTTTTAAGATTTTTTTTCTATAGGGAAAGTTTATCATAAGACTTCTTAAGAATATTTTTTCAATGGATTTTAGAAAAAGACTTTGTGAAGTAGTATATATTTTGAAATATATCTTCTACAGATGATTATTCGAAGATCTTTCTACTTTTAAAATATTTTAAAAGGTATTTTCCTATACAAGGTATTTTGAAATTTTTTTCTAAAGAATTTATTTGAAATATTTTTTTCTAAAGAAGAAATTTTGAAAATTATTTTTTTATGGAAAATTTTTTGAAAGGCCTTCTTCTATGGAAGGCCTTTGAAAGGAATTCTTCTATGAAATAGCCTCAACCACAGAAGATCTTTCTTTTTTGGAAAACATTTTAGTTTCTGGTTATTATAGAATGCCTTTGAAAAGGGCAGAAAAGTTTTAAGATTAAAAGCTACATTTTTGTAGGAACACCCTGCGTATAAACCCATCAATAAACAAATAATATCAACACAAAAATATCCTTCAACAAAAAAAGGATAACAACAACAAAAAGGGTTAATCAAAATTCATTGAAAGCATGACCAAATATGAATGGTTGGCCCATAGTTTGGATGGCATTGTGGAATATGCAATGATGCCTGATGGCTTAGGTTGGCTGGTTATTTGGTTGGGTCTATTGCTTTTAGCTGAGCTTTATCTTTTTTTGCCTTTGTTTTGATTTTGTTTTCATTTTTGAGGTTATGCTTCTGATTTGAGTTTTTTTTTCGTGCTGGCCTTTGTTTGATTACTTCGAGGTTTTTTCGGTTTTGTCGTTTTGGCTTCGATCAAACATTTACCTCGATTCTGGTGCGCATAATATCTTACCTGGGTTTCTTGCCAATAACCAACATTAACATATCCATAAACAGGGCGGGTAAGGTGTGATACAAGAATGACAGCAGGGCGAATTGCCATTTGGAGCTGACAATGGTGAAGCAAGGATACCAAATGGATTTGCGCAACGGCAACTTGCGTCCATATTCAATGGCATATTCCATGAATTCGCGCCAGCTGGCAATGTTATCCGGGTCGGGTATGTAATTGTAGATTGGTGGGGTGTCGTAACTACAAAACGAAAAAAAATTAAAAGTTATATTTTTTTTTAAGGTTGTGGGTCGCTTTTCAAGACTCACGTATTTCTGGCTATATCCCAGGCACTGGTCAACAGGGCATTTACACACAAATCCACCGGGACCATGTTGGCCTTATTCTGCACCTTGCCGCTGAAAATGCGCATGACACCCGAACCTACGCCCACAATAATGCCACAGGGTCCATACATGTTGTCGATCCAGCCGGAGACGGGTTCGCGATAGGTGGTGACAACTAAAATAACCGAAATAACATTTTAAAATTGCTTTAAATTAAAAACCCCACCTCGAACCCTCACCTATGCCTGGACGGAATATGGTAACTGGCAAATTCTGTCCATAATTCTGTATGATATCCTCAGCCAAGACCTTGGTAAAAGCATAGGTATTCGGGAAGTCCTTTACAATGGTCGGTGTCAGCGTATTCAATGTCTGCTCATCCAGGCACTCGCTCAGCTGCAAAGCCTTATCACCCGACAAGGTACAATTGTAGAATCTCTCCTGAATGTGTTTACGATTACAATGGGCAAAGGCCGTAGAGACATGAACCACCGCCTTGAGATGTACCACCTCCTTGGCCAAACGCAAAATTTCCTTGGTGCCATTCACATTGATGCCAATGGCCATTTTTAGCTTCTCATCAAATCGCACTGTGGCAGCACCATGAATAATTATGTTCACCTGTTCCTTGAGCAACTCACGATCTTCGTGGGAGATACCCAGAGCGGGGAGAGAGACATCACCACTAATGACGGTGATTTTTTCGCGATAGTTTGGTGTGATTTTCTTGAGTTTTTCAAAGACCTGGGGGGAGAGAGAGAGAGAAGAGAGAACATAATGAGAGAGGGAGAGAGACAAAATAGAAGGTAAGTATTTGTCCACTTTTGTGGGTAAAATTATCCACATTTGTGGATAAAATTATCCACATTTGTGGATAAAATTATCCACGATTGCGGATAAAACTATCCACAGTTGTGGATAATTTATCCGTATTTATGGATAACTCTGTGGATAAAGTTGTCCACCTTCGTGGATAAAATTACCCAGTTTTTGGATAAAGTTTTCCACGTTTATGGATAAAGTTATCCGCGTTTTTGGATAAAATTTTCCAGGTCTTCATATCAATTATCTACATTTGTGGATAAAATTATCCGCATTTGTGAATAAAGTTATCCACATTTGTGGATAAAATTATCCACGTGTGGGGATAAAATTATCCACATTTGTGGATAAAATTATCCAAAAATTTGTCCACATTTGTGGATAAAATTATCCACGTTTGTGGATAAAAGTGTCCACATTTGTGGATAAAATTATCCACATTTGTGGATAAAAGGGTCCACATTTGTGGATAAAGTTATCCACATTTGTGGATAAAATTATCCACGTTTGTGGATAAAAGTGTCCACATTTGTGGATAAAATTATCCACATTTGTGGATAAAAGGGTCCACATTTGTGGATAAAGTTATCCACATTTGTGGATAAAATTATCCACGTTTGTGGATAAAAGTGTCCACATTTGTTTATAAAATTATCCACTATTTGGATAAAATTATCCACGTTTTTAGATAAGATTATCAACTGTTGTGGATAAAAATATCCACATTTATGGATAAAACTATCCAAATTTTTTGATAAAATTATCCACATTTGTGGATAAAATCATTAACGACTCTGGATAAAATTATCTGCATTTGTGGACAAAATTATCCACGTTTGTGGATAAAGTTATTCTCATTTGTGATTAAAAATATCCCCACTTGTGGATAAAATATCCGCATTTGTAGAAAAAATTATCCACATTTGTGGATAAAATTATCCAGGTTTGTGGATAAAGTTTTCCACGTTTATGGATAAAGTTATCCACGTTTTTGGAAAAAATTATCCAGTTCTGCATATCAATTAATTAAATAAAATTATCCAATTTTGTGGAAAAAATTATCCACATCTGTGGATAAAATTATCCAGATCTGTGGATAAAATTATCCACATTTGTGGATAAAATTATCCACATTTGTGGATAAAATTATCCACATTTGTGGATAAAATTATCCACATTTGTGGATAAAGTTATCCACATTTGTGGAAAAAATTATCCACATTTGTAGATAAAATTTTCCACTTTGGTGGATAAAGTTATCCACGTTTGTGGATAAAGTTATCCATTACTGTGGATATAATTATCCACATTTGTGGATAAAATTATCCACATTTGTGTATAAAATTATCCACGTTTGTGTATAAAGTTATCCACGATTTGTGGATAAAATTATCCACTATTGTGGATAAAATTGTCCACATTTGTGCATAAAGTTATCCACATTTGTGGATAAAGTTATCCACTTTTGTGAATAAAATTATCCACATTTGTGGATAACGTTATCCTGGTGTATGGATAAAATTATCCACATTTGTGGATAAAATTGTCCACATTTGTGGATAAAATTATCCACATTTGGTGGTAAAATTATCCACCGCACCCTTTCTTCCTGTTCCATAAAAATATCCTTGAATAACTCCCAATCTCGCTACTTACCGGTTCATTGAAGATGTCATCGAGACGTGTCTGTACGTCTTTACCCTTTTTGGTACGGATCAGCAGGAAAATTTGTCCCACATCGGTAACGCGTAATAATTTTTCAATTATAACTGCAAGATGAAAAAAAGAAATCCAGCAATTAAATCATTACCACTAAGAACATCCGCCGGCAGAATTCCAAAGGAAATTCAACCCCAAAAATGACACCCCCATCACACCATGAACCACTTTACCACACACAACATCCATGCTCTGACATTGTGTCTGGTATTAAGGCACTTGGTGGAATGGTTGAAAGGAAGGAGTGGGCGGACTCCTCCTCCCCCTTCAAAATGAATTAAAAGGGTATTACTTACTTTTACCAAAGAAGCCGGTGCCGCCTGTCAGGAATACCCCCTTGTCCTTGTAGAACATTTGCATGGGTGATTCTGTAACGAAAACGGAGGAAAAGGGTACGAGACTTTAATATTAAATCGCAATCGAACGAAATGCCATTAAAATAAGATTTATTTATGGGAAGTCAATATGAAAGTATTTAAATATTTCCTAGCAAAAGGGGGTGCGGGGTGGGGGAAACCCCTTTTCTACCCCTCATCACGCATTTAACATAAATTCCTTAGCCATCAGCGACAGCTTCTATAATCCTCGGGTTTTTGAGGGTTAACACCAATGTTTCGTCATTGTTTGTGAAGTAATGTGACAATACCTACCCCCCATGTTATGTGCCTTCACTTTGGGCGGCGACCAACTCGTGCACTACCCTTCCTTAAATATTTTTTCCTTTTGTTTTCCTTCTTCTTCTTGAGAATTCTTCTCAAGTACTTTAAGCGGTACCAATGAAATATTCGTTATTTACATAAATTATCATATTTTTTTCTTCTTCTCTCCTCTTCCTTACTTTTGTTTTCACTTGACTAAGCTCTTTTTGGACTTCGTAGTTTATCTGCTTGATAGCGTCAATACGAGGAGCCATACTCACACCACAATATCATCATTTACACCAAAAGGACAATGTGAGGAAAAAAATTATGTTCTTGGTGAATGAATTGACGGGAAGGACCAACGTGGATTTTTTTAAAGAAAATATTTTTAAGGACCAAATAGACGTGAATTTTTAAAGAATATTTTTAAGGACCCAATAAACGTGGATTTCTGAAAGAATGTTTTTTGAAGGACCACCTAAACGTGGATTTTCTGAGAATATTTTTTTCAGGGACCAAATAAACGCGGATTTTTTAAAATATTTTGTTTAAGGACCAATTAATGCGAATTTCATAAAGAATATATTTTCAAGGACCAATTAATGAGAATTTCATAAAGAATATATTTTCAAGGACCAAATTAATGTGGATTTCTTAAAAATTTATTAAAGAATAAATTTTCAAGGACCAACAGACCTCTAAACGTGGATTTTTTAAAAAATGTTTTAAAGAATCAAAAAGGATTTTTGAAGGAGTATTTTTCCAAGGACCAAATAAACGTGGATTTTTTAACGAATATAATAATAAACAAGGATTTCTTAAAGAATATTTTTCTAAAGAACCAATCGAACGTGGATTTCCGATAAAATAATTTTGCAAGGACCAAATAAACGTGGATTTAAGGATTTTTTTAAGTACCAAATAAAAGTGGATTTTAAAAAAAAAAATTAAGGACCAATCGAACGGGGATTTCCGAAAGATTATTTTTTCAAGGAACAAAGAAACGTTGATTTCCGAAAGATTATTTTTTTAAAGAGCAAATAAACGTGGATTTTTTTAAAAAATATTTTTTCAAGGACCAAATAAACGTGGATTTTTTTAAAAAATATTTTTTTCAAGGACCAACTGAGACGTGGATTTTTTCAAAAATATTTTTTCAAGGACCAAATAAATGTGGGTTTTTAAAAATATTTTTTCAAGGACCAAATAAATGTGGATTTTTAAAAAAATATTTTTTTCAAGGACCAAATAAACGTTGTTCTTTTAAAGAATATTTTTTCAAGGACAAACAGAGGCGTGGATTTTTTAAAAAAATATATTTTTTTAAGGACCAAGTAAACGTGGATTTTTTAAAAAAAAAATATTTTCTCAAAGACCAAATAAACGTGGATTTTTTAAAAAATATTTTTTTCTTAGAACCAAATAAACGTGGATTTTTTAAAAAATATTTTTTCAAAGACCAAATAAACATGGATTTTTTAAAGAATATTTTTTCAAGGACCAAATAAACGTGGATTTTTTAAAAAATATTTTTTCAAGGACCAAATAAACATGGGTTTTTAAACAATATTTTTTCCAAGGAGCAAATAAACGTGGATTTTTTAAAGAATATTTTTTCAAAGACCAAATAAACGTGGATTTTTTAAAAAATATTTTTTCAAGGACCAAATAAACGTGGATTTTTTAAAAAAAATATTTTTTCAAGGACCAAATAAACGTGGATTTTTTAAAAAATATTTTTTCAAGGACCAAAGAAATTTAAAGAATATTTTTTAAAGAAAATATTTTCAAGGACCAAAGAAATTTAAAGAATATTTTTTAAAGAAAATATTTTCAAGGACCAACAGACCTCTTAACGTGCATTTTTTAAAGAAAATATTTTCAGGGACCATGTAGGTTCACGTCTTCGTATAGCCCCCATATAACGGTTCCCCCACCCCCCTTTTTTCGGTATTTGGATGATTTTAGCCATATTATTAACGGGAACTGTTTTAAATTTAATATTTGAAGTTCGTAATGGATACTACAGCCTATTCCAGAAAATTGTCTCTGCAGACTTATGACAAAAGTTCCATGTCGTCGTATAGACCCTCATTCGTTATTTTTTAAGATTTTAACAGAATGTGGGTTTTTAAAAATATTTTTTCAAGGACCAAATAAATGTGGATTTTTTAAAAAATATTTTTTTCAAGGACCAAATAAACGTGGATTTTTTAAAAAATATTTTTTCAAGTACCAAATAAACGTTGTTCTTTTAAAGAATATTTTTTCAAGGACAAACAGAGGCGTGGATTTTTTAAAAAAATATATTTTTTTAAGGACCAAGTAAACGTGGATTTTTTAAAAAAAAATATTTTCTCAAAGACCAAATAAACGTGGATTTTTTAAAAATATTTTTTTCTTAGAACCAAATAAACGTGGATTTTTTAAAAAATATTTTTTCAAAGACCAAATAAACATGGATTTTTTAAAGAATATTTTTTCAAGGACCAAATAAACGTGGATTTTTTAAAAAATATTTTTTCAAGGACCAAATAAACATGGGTTTTTAAACAATATTTTTTCCAAGGAGCAAATAAACGTGGATTTTTTAAAGAATATTTTTTCAAAGACCAAATAAACGTGGATTTTTTAAAAAATATTTTTTCAAGGACCAAATAAACGTGGATTTTTTAAAAAAATATTTTTTCAAGGACCAAATAAACGTGGATTTTTTAAAAAATATTTTTTCAAGGACCAAAGAAATTTAAAGAATATTTTTTAAAGAAAATATTTTCAAGGACCAAAGAAATTTAAAGAATATTTTTTAAAGAAAATATTTTCAAGGACCAACAGACCTCTTAACGTGCATTTTTTAAAGAAAATATTTTCAAGGACCAACAGACCTCTTAACGTGCATTTTTTAAAGAAAATATTTTCAGGGACCATGTAGGTTCACGTCTTCGTATAGCCCCCATATAACGGTTCCCCCACCCCCCTTTTTTCGGTATTTGGATGATTTTAGCCATATTATTAACGGGAACTGTTTTAAATTTAATATTTGAAGTTCGTAATGGATACTACAGCCTATGCCAGAAAATTGTCTCTGCAGACTTATGACAAAAGTTCCACGTCATCGTATAGAACCTCATTCGATATTTTTTTTAAGATTTTAATAGAATTTTTAATGGATTTAAATTTTTTGAAAATTGCCAAATTTGTGCCAAATGGTGGAGGGTATTCAAAGTTCGGCCGGGGGCCGAACTTACAGCTTTTTTACTTGTTTTTTTTTTTTAAATTTCCAAATACGTTTCAAATGGTGAAGGGTATTCAAAGTCCGACCGGACTGAACTTACTGCTTTTTTATTTGTTTAAAAATATTTTTCCATAGACCAGCAATGTAAATCTTTGTCAACATTTTTTTAAGGACCTATCGATATGCGGATATTTTTAAATACCTTTTTTGCAAGGACCAACAGACCGTTGGATATGAATTTTGTGCGCATGTTATAAAGGACCGCCAGACATCGAAAATTAAGGAAAAATTTTAGTTTTGAAGGATACGTATATCATTCTTTCAATATATTTCAAAAATTTACAATTAATCCTTGAAAAAAAATTATTTGAAAATATTATTTTTAATTTTTTAACTTTTATTTTTGTTTTTGGAAATATATTTTTGGCAGGAGTATTTTGAATAATATTTATAATAACTCCTAAATAATATTTTGGAATGAAAATAAGTTCCTCTTATGTAGCAAAACTCCATGTTACCTAATCTCTCACATCCCTTTTCCACATTTTCAAAACTTTATATTTATCACCCAAAATTTTTTTGGTTAAAATTCATAAGTATTTTGAGCTGAAGATTGGAGGACTTACAAGTAAAACAAATTTTAAATCAATACCCTTAGAAATTAACATACCAGACACCACGATAAGAACCTGGTGGCATCAATCATACGCGGACACATGAATATATGTGAATGAAATCCACACACAGTATATCCGTAACATACTGACAATCGCACTCCCTCTCACTCTCCCAGCCAAACGGACTTCTCATACACAAACTTCTCAACAATAGACCAGTCTGCCTACCACTTCGCATCCCCACAGAAACCTAGACTTACACACACCACACATTTTTTCATGTCCTTTCATCCTTCCTTTCACCCACCAATCCACTTATGTGTGTGTGTGGAGGGGAGGCTTAAACTGCTCTCATGTTTTTATCATCATTGGCCATATTAAAACATTGATGACTTATTTTTGCCAACAAACAAGCATCGTTCATTGTTCGAACTAGGCAATAAATTTACACAAAGTGTCTATGTGTGTGTGCGTGTCGACGTTTGTCTGCATGTAAATATGCCATCCAACCAACCAACCAACAAACACATACAAGTTTGTAATACAAAGAATTCCCCCATGCATGTTTGTCAGACAGTAGTGGGGCTTAAACGCACCCTAATGACACAGGCCAAGTGTGTCTTCCACTTGGTTTTTGTTGTTGTGGTTGTTGTTGTTGTTGTTGCTGTTAGTATTGCTCTTGTTGTCGATTGGGCTTAAAGTGCCAAATTAATCGGTAGAGCAGCCTATGACTTTATGGCTGAATGACTTATTGCCAGACTAGTTGGCTGCCTGGCTAAATACCTCCATGTTTGACTACGGTGCGTTCATGGGCCCATCCGTCCAGCCACACAAACGTCGTTCATACATCTTTTATATTTGTGCACTGAGTTGAA